TGTCACTGATCCTATGACCATTTGCCCTCATAGGCCAGGTATCTTCATACAAATCTGTCCCTGTTTGTCCATCTATCCCTGCCTGGACGTAGGCCAGGATGACAACTCATGATGATGGAGGATGAAATTTGATGCAGGGGTGTGAGTCAGTGCTGAGTACTCATGTGGTTTTTGGGGACCCAACATGGAAAAAGTCTCACTTCGCTGAGGACACTGCTTGGTCAGTTATGCAACACTCTAGAGTATTTTCCTAGTTGGCTTAGCCAGAGTCCTGTCCTTTCTGGACAAGCTCAGCAGTGCCCCCTGCTGAGCTCAGAGCCCCCTGACACCACCCAGCTCTCCTGGACCATCCTGATGTCAGATGGATTTTTCTGATGGTACTACCCAGGTGCATAGAATGAGTAGGTCTCCTACACCATGATTGGGACTGTGACATTAATTTTTTTTCCAGTTCCCTAATGAACTCCAGACAGCTAAGCACAGAATGTATTGCACAGTGATTATGTTACCAGATATTCAGAATTACCTGGCATTTGGATTTCTTCAGCCCTGTACTGGAGCCGTCACCAATCCATGACCAGCTTGAACCGGTCCATAAGATTAAGGTTTTATCTTCCCCAGAATTCCCCCGTATTCATAACTGGAATTGATTGTACATGTGTTCCTCTTATTAGGGTGTCTCATTCTGCTATTGTTCTTGTTGGTGTAAGGGTCTCCTGTTAGGTTACCCCAGCCCACATTGTACAGGACTTGACATTTGATGTCTGTATCCGTCAGGAGACTATAACATTGTTGGGAAAAGGGTCTTCTGCTCATTCATACCTCTCTTGGTTTCCATTTGCCCTGTAAACCTGGAAATTCCTTATTTTCTTTTGCTTCTCTGATATATTTAACATATTTTTAGTGGAGTTTTGTAATTGTTATTAGTAAGACAATTGGTATAAAAAAAATCATTGCTATAGTGGAACCTCCCCTGAATTAGAGGTCCTCCTTCCACTTCTGAACTGCAGGACCCTGCAGTTACTCACCAGCACAGGGTCTGATCAAGTTTGTTGAGAGCTCCATGGACCATCACTTAGAAAAATAAGACTATCTAGAAATTTTCCTATAATAAAAGTTTATCTGATAATGGGATTTGGGTTCACAGGATCTAGACCTGCAATAACAGATTTATTTAACACCATCCCAACCAAAGAACCTGAGAGAGAAAGTATGTGAACTCTCGATTGGACAGAGAGAAGTGAGCATGTCTGACGGCCCTGTCCTCAAAGGGGAGGGGTCATCTCCTGCCCCAAGGCATTCCCATGATTCCCCAGGGCACCATTGGAAGAGACAGAGAAACACAGACCCGCCAGTTTCACAGGCAGGAAATGATCAGCTAATCCTGGGACAGGACCATGGGACATGCAGGGAGCTTGGCAGAAGGGACTTGGGTCTCTCAGGTCACAGTCCCATATTATTGCTTTCCTTACCATCCCCACCCAACAGGTGTGGGGGATACTTTTGCTTCTTGAGACAAAGTGAGTTTGTTTGGACTGGGACACAGTAAGAAAGGTTATTTTCTTTTTTAAAAAAAGATTTTCTTTAAGAGACAGAAAGAAAGAGAGCATGATGGGGGCTGCAGAGAGAGAGGGAGAGGCAGACTCCCCACTGAGCAGAGAGCCTGATGCTGGGCTTGATCCCAGGGCTCTGGGATCATGACCTAAGCCTAAGGCAGATGTTTAACTGGCTGAGCCATCCAGGTGCCCTGAAAGTAAGTTATTTTCATGGAGCCCATAAGACAGACAGAGTCAAGTAGGTGGAGTTCTCTGGTTTCTGAAGCACAAGCTACACCGGAGAAGTAGAGCTGCTGTTAGTCACAGGCAGGGATGGGGGAAGATGGGTCAGAGCATCTAATGGGGGGGCAGATGTTTTTCTTACTTCCCTGTGGAAGGGTAGCTTTTGTTAGCACAGGGGCTGTGCTCAGCTCTGTGACACTGGGAGTCAGTCTCATCCTCAGGCTGCAGGCCAGGGGTGAACAAGGAGGTCATGATGATAAACCTGGAGCAGAAATGTTGGCCTGGGATTCCTGAACACCCATCACTGGTGTCCTAGGTCACAGACTCAGGGGCTCTGCCTGGGACACCTTGCTCCCAGCCATCATGATAACCTCCAAAGTGTCTGCTGCACTCCGTGTGACCAAGGTGACTCATCATTGGGACCTACTGAGAGCTTCAGAGGAGGTGTTATTGCACATATTAGGGGGTTTTTGATACTTCACAACCCTGGCTGACACCCTGCGTGCGTAAAAGCTCCTACAGGGCAGAAAAGGAGAGGACACACGTCACTTCCCACGGGCTCTAGAAACCCACCCATGGGAGCTCATGAGGGGCAAGTGGTATCACCTGTGGAGAAATCACATATGGGACTCAGCATTTCCCAGGAATGCTGGATTCTCTCCCCTTCACCCTCCCCAGCCCCTAAAATCGGTTTGCTGGCCTCAGGTAGCAAATGTCCCCCATGCCTAACCCCCATGTCCTTGACATGACAGTGGAAGACACAGACAGCACAGCAGTGAGCCAGGCCAGCTCTGAGCCCTGACCTCCCCCAGACCTGCATTTGCCATCTTCCTGCCTCATTTCAGGAGCACAGTATACCTCCGCCAGCCTCTCAGATGGGACCGGGACGGAGGGTCTCTCTGGGGCTTCAGGAGCAGAAGCCATGTCTACAGGACTGTCCACCTGCTGGGATGGTGCCTCACTCTGACCAAGAAAGCTAGCAGCCATTGCTCGTTTCTTTCACTGGGTATAAGTTCAGCTGTGCTGTGAATTTGTTTGTTTCTTATTTGATTTGTTTCCTTCATTTTTGTCTAAGACTGAAGTTTCGTTGACGGGAACTTGACAGAGAAAGAGAGGGGAACTTGACAGAGAAGGATTCTAGCTCCTGGCAGAGGCTCCTGGACAAGGTCCTGTGGGTGTCCCCACAGCTGCTCCCTCCACCCCCTCCTGGGTCCCACTCACAGCAGCCATAACTCAGAGCAGGTCAGGGATTTTTTTCTACTTTCCCTTCGGCCTGTGTCACTGTGAGAAGCACCACTGTCTCCAACAAGACAGTGATAGTCTGCCTCGGCCTCAGCCTGCAACCCCGAGATGTGCAGAAGCCCTGCATTGGCCAAGGTGTCTTTGGAGCCCGAGAAGCGGCCGGGGACCCTGGAGCCCTGGTGCTTATCGGAGTCTGAGGAGAACCTCAGCAGACACCAGGGAGGGCTCCCTGGCCGCTGCTGGATCCAGTACGTGCACTAGCCGCCAACACTGATGTCCCTGCTCAGGGTGCAGGTGAGTCTGGCCGTTGTTCCCGGAGATGCCGAGAGGGAGGGTGGCTGGGTCAGCACGGGCTGGGACAGGGAGCCTGCAGACACACACACTCATGGGTGATGGGGCATTTCCACTGGGAGTTTCTCAGTCTTAGGGGCTGATAATATCTGGGAAGATCCCAAGAAGTCAGATGATGTCCCTACCTGAGCAGAGAGAGAGGAACAGGAAGAAGAGAGGAGTCCAGGCCATGATGACACAGCCCTTGGTCCCCACAGTGGAACTGGGCTGTCCCAGGCTTGTCTTATCCTCCCTACTGTCCCCATGCAAATGAGGGTGCTCTTTATGCAAATTTGCACCCCCTTTATGCAAATTTGCACCCCCTTTCAGACTCACTCAGACTCCACCTGATCAGTGAATCAGGATCCTGAGAGGGGGCTGAGGGCAAGGCCTGCTCTGAATGGGACCCAGGAGGGGGTGGAGGGAGCAGCTGTGGGAAGCCCCATGCTGGGTCTGATTTAAAGAACAGGGATACATGTCTGTGATTTGAGACGCTTATAACATAGAGAGGAAAGTCAGAAAGAAATAAACACCCCTGTGGAAATGAGAATGTCTACAAAACATAAATCATAGAAAAGAGTGAGATTCTCCCCCCCCTTGGGACATTCTGGGAGCTCCTCTTCTGAGGGGACTTTCAAGCATGTCTCAGGAGAGGAGTGACCATGTTCTCCATATGAGCTCATAGAAGAGAAAATCAAAACAGGGTGTGAAGATGCTCAAACCATGAAGGGACGCCGCAATTTCACAGAGTGACGAAACGATCTGGTGACAGTGTGCACAGGGGAATAGAGGGTGGACACAGCAGTGCAGGTCTGAAGAGCCTATGTGGTTGGGGAAGAGCAACCGAGGCAGGGAAACAGGAGGCGGGGAGGCAGGCGGCTGTGCTCCCAGGAGACACGCAGGCTGTGGAGCAGAAGGAACGCGGGGAGAGAAGGAGGAAGACTCTGTGGGAACTGGGGGTTTCTGCTCTGACTGCCCCGTCCGACGGCACTGCTGTTCACTGCAGCGGAGCATGAGGTAAGGAGATGCCTCTCTGTTCATAAAAGAGCTGAAGATCTGAGAAAGAAGTAGAAACCCTGAAGTCCAAGCTCAGAAATGGTGGACCCTGACCTTGAGTGGCAGCAAGCAGGGACGGCGGCCTGCGGCTGGTGTCCGGGTGAGCAGTCCCTGGTGCTCATGTGGACATGAGGGAGGGACAGGAGGCTGGGACAGAAACCTGGACACCGGCCCCATGTGTGTTAGTGACGTCCTACCTTCTGCTCAGGATACCGAGTGGTGAGCCGGGTGAGCTGTCTTTCTCATACACATGTTCAGGGAGGGCTCAGGACAGTGAAGATGTGGTTGGTGGTGATGATTGTAGACCTTTAAACTCAAGGGTGAGCTCAGGACAGGTCCTGAGGATGCATGAGTGTGGAGCATCCAGGGTCAGGCTGAAATGCCTTGGACAGTGAGCATCATGAAGAAGTGGGGATGGAGAAGAACCCAAACTTCTCACCCTACCTGCACATCCCCAGGACCTCTAGCCACAGGGAGGCAGAGCTGCAGGCTCTCGCTCAACCCCTCACCCTTTGGGGGGAAGAGCAGTGCATTCTGGTCGCTGCCTCCTACCTCCACTTCCTCTTCCTGGTGTCTGTCATGAGGAATGGACTGGGTGGACCCACGTGAGCTCTGAGCTTCCTGGGGTCAAGGCAGCTGAGCCCTGGGCCGAGACTCAAGCAGACACTGCATTCCCAGCTGCCCTCACCCCATGGACCCCAGGAACAGGCTCCACAGTGCCGCTGCTCCCCAGCTCTGGTGCCCCCTGACTGAGATGAGGGGACAGGAGACCAGAGCAGAGATCCCCCTGCTTCCAGCACTGTGGGTCCCCTGCCCACTCTCCATGGAGGATGGGCCACACTTGGGCCATCCTTAGACTGGAGCCCCATGGCCACACTCAGAATTTCCTGCTGTGGCTCCTCACTGAGGACTGTCTCTAACTGTCCCCACTTCTCCTGTGCTTCTCCACTAACAGGGTGAAGTGAGGTGTCAGAACCCATCTTCAGTGCAAGGAGCAAAAAGACAAAGGCCCCAGGGCCTCTGCCCCCATGACTCTCAAATTGGTACCCAAGAAAGCTGGTCTGCCTCTGTCTTTCTGTGTGTCTCTGTCTCTGTCTCCCACCCCCAGCCCCTTCCTCTGTCAGCTGAGGCTCTGTCCACATTCCTGGTGGGGAGGGCATGGGCTCACTCTTTCTCAACCCATGACCTTGATCTGTGGCCCCAGGTGTGCTGTGTAATTTCCAGGTCTTGTAAGTAATAAACCTTTATTTTCCAAAGATTCCTATGGTTCTAGCTGAAGGATAACTTGTAGTCATAATAAGAACCACAAAGGTGGGTCCACCACTGCATTGGTTATGGAGTGGCTGAGACCTGCACAAAACAGGAACTTCTGATCCTGGAGGAAGAATGCTGGCTCCCACCGTCTGTGACCACTGACTTCATTGTTCAATTCAGGCATGGCTCAGAAACATCACAATTATTGATCACCCACGCCATCAGACACAAGTCCATCAAATGGAGAAAGGGTCTCATGTACAGTTTCTCATACAGGCTCCCCTTCTTTTCAAAATCCTCAGGTCATCAGCCCTTTGCCCCACCCTTTCAGTGAGGTGGCTTCCTACCTTTTTAGAGCAGCGAATGGGATGATGTCACATTGTGCACTCCGTCATGGACCCCAGACTTCCTAGATGACTTTATGTGTACGCACTAAGGTGTTGTCACTGTGCTATAGAGTTTACTGAGCTGTGACCACACAGCAGTGTGGTGTGGCTGCTTCACAGTGTCCTGTATAAGAGCGACACCACCATAAATCCTGTTCTTGCATATCCATCCCCCTGCTCCTTCCTTCACCTGCTCTCCATCACTGACCTTTGTAGCACCTCTAGATTTGTGCCTCTTCTAAAATGTAGTTCAATTATAGTTATATTAAATGTGGCACTTTAAATGTTCTTCTTTCTGAGCACCTGGGTGGCTCAGTTGGTTAGGCAACTGCCTTCCACTCAGGTCATGATCCTGGAGTCCCAGGATCGAGTCTTGCAGGGGGCTCCCTGCTCAGAGGGGAGTCTGCTTCTCCCTCTGACCCTCCCCCTTCTCATGCTCTCTCTCTCTATCTCATTCTCTCTCTCAAGTAAATAAATAAAATCTTTTTAAAATGTTCTTCTTTCTGAAGAAATATGTATTTAAAATTCATGTATACTACTGTGACTTCATAGGTCATTTATTTTTGTTTGTTTTTGTTTTGTGTTTTTTTTTCTTTTCAAGTTTTTATTTAAAGTCTAGTTAACATATATGGTAAAATTGGTTTCAGGTATAGAATTTAGTGATTTGCATTTACATAGTGCTCATCACAACAAGTGCCCTCCTTAACACCCATCACCCATTTAGCCCATCCCCCACCCACCTCCCTCCATCAACCCTCAGCTTATTCTCTATAGTTAAGAGACTCTTATGGTTTGCTTCCCTCTCTCTTTTTTTTTCCTTCCCATATGATCACTTGTTTTGTTTCTTAAATTCCACTTAGGAGTGAAATCATACAGAATTTGTCTTTCTCTGACTGACTTATTTTGCTTAGTATAATACATGTTAGCTCCTTCCACATTGTTGCAAATGGAAAGATTTCATTCTTTTTGATGGCTGAGCAATAATCCAATATATATATATATATATATATATATATGCCACATCTTCTTTATCCATTCATCAGTCATTGGACATTTGGGCTCTTTCCATAGTTAGGCTATTGTTGATAATGCTGCTATAAACATTGGGTGCATGTACCCCTTTGAATTAGTATTTGCATATCCTTTGTGTAAATACGTAGCAGTGCAATTGCTGGATCATGAGGTAGAAAGCTGACTAATATCCCAGTGTACAAATGTATAACCTATTGGAGGACATCTTTGTTACATCAAGTCTTAGGGATTATTAAAAACCTGGTATAAACATCCATGTGCAGTTCTGATTGCTTTCCCATATGGTGATTATGAACAAATCTTCTATAAATATTAACATGCAGGATCTTCTCTGGACAGAAATATCGTTTTGGTTTCACCTTTTCTAATTTGTAGTTTGGCACGTTTCCCGTATTCCCCACAAGTATCTGTGTAGGTCAGAAAAACATATATACTTCATTTTGCCTGAGTGTCATTGGAATTGCCATGTCTGTGTGGATTCCCATAGGTACAATATGAAATTTGATTTTCTCCTATTAATCTGGCTCATGTCAAATTGATTCTTAGTCCAGATAGAAGGATCTTGAAATGGGCAGGACATTCCTGCTTCCTGACAGTAGTACAGGAGACACAACAGGAAGGAAGGACTGATGTTTTCCATGTATACGTGTTTAGTATTGTTGGTGTTCTCCAGACCCTGGGGGATGA